TCAGCCAATAAATCTAACATGATCAAAGGCAGCTCATAAGCTTCTATGACCTGGGCAACCCTTAGCCATGCAGCCACAAGCTAAAGAGAGCCTGAGGAGATCTGAGAACCAGGATACCAAAACATCTGTTAAAAATCACACTTTAGCTGAAGAACTGACTGGCTTCTTTGATCCTTCACACAAACAGCTTGAGGTCAAGCGGCTCCAGACAGACATATTCTGGTATGACACAACAGAGCCTTGTCAGCACCTTGAAGACTTAGCAGATCTATTGTGGCTGTGTTCAGCACAATATGCAGCAGTATAGTTTAATTTTGAGCTATTGTTCTAGAATAGCTTCAACACTTCAAAGGCCACATCCACATGGCACAATAGGTGATAAACCACAGCTTATCATGCATGAGCTCATTGCCCCTGCTTCCCTCAACCCTGCTAGCCCGGGGAGGAAACAAACCACCACCCCTGAACTCAAACAAACCATGGTTGACGAGCCAAGGACAAGCCCTAGCTTATCACCATGGTTTGTTCCATTACAAAAACCTGATTCCTTGTTCAACCACAATGCTAAGGTGGTGGTTAGTTTCTTCCCAGCGCTAGCAGGAATGAGCGAAGTGAAAGCAATTAAGAAGAACTCAGCAAAGCTCTGTTGGATCAATCCCAAAGGCCCATCAAGTCCAGCACAGTACATTTCCCAGAATTCCTGAGATGTAGGTAAAGGTAAAGGTAAAGCTAAAGGGACCCCTGACCATTAGGTCCAGTCGTGACCGACTTTGGGGTTGCGGCGCTCATCTCGCTTTATTGGCCGAGGGAGCCGGCGTACAGCTTCTGGGCCATGTGGACAGCATGACTAAGCCGCTTCTGGCGAACCAGAGCAGCGCCCGGAAACACTGTTTACCTTCCCGCCAGAGCAGTACCTATTTATCTACTTGCACTTTGACGTGCTTTTGAACTGCTAGGTTGGCAGGAGCAGGGACCGAGCAATGGGAGCTCACCCCGTCGCGGGGATTCGAACCGCCGACCTTCTGATCGGCAAGTCCTTGGCTCTGTGGTTTAACCCACAGCGCCACCCACGTCCCTAGGCCTGAGATGCAGAATGGGCTTGAAATCAGTGGTGCGATATTTGGAGGAAGTGAGTGCCTAAAATTGTGGACTTCAGTAGGTCTGTTAGGCTGCATTACTACACATGAACCTCCTTGAGAGTAAGTCCTATTAAACATAAGTCAGTGGTGCTTAAGCAAGGCTCCATATTTGTAAAAAGCTTTTTGGATACAGGCAGTGCAACTCCTGGGAAGTGTAGTTTCTCTCTCACAGAGTTACAGTTCCCAACACCCTATAGCTCCTGGGATTCCTTGAGAGGGAAACCTTGGGCCAGACACACACAGATTCAACCTACCCTACCTCTAATGAGTTGCTGAGCAGTTAAAGAGGGTGAGTGGAGAACCAGGTCCTCTGCGTTGAACTATTCCAAGGAAAGGTAGTGTATAAAGTAAAATTGATTTTAAAAATTGAGCACCGGAATTATATTTATTTATTAAAAATATTGCAAAAATGTATCAAAGTTGTTTATAACAGTAAAAAGAAGACAAACCACACAATAAGAACATGAAAAATTAAAAACAACACAGTTCTTAGAAGTGGAGTAGAGGCTGATAACATCATTGTTGGTTGTGTAGTAGAGGGAGAGAACACTCCAGAACGGGGTTTGGGGGGGGGGGAGAGGAGTGATGGCATCGTCTGCCATTCTTAGCCTGGCAAACAAAAGTGGTGACAAGACTTTCTGATTTTGCTATTGCTTGTGGCAGACTACCACAGAGGAAGTCAGAGAATGGGGGCAGGGAATCAAATAGAGGCTGGGTACTTCTTTCTTTTCCCCCGATGGTGTTCCTACACTTCCCTGCAAGGTTGCTTGCACCTCTTATTAAATACTAAAAGTTGTGTTTCAGCTGGCCGAGTATCTTTTGTTAAACCTCAGTGTTACAAGCTGAACCTATGCAGTCAGAATTAAGCACCACTGAGTTCAAGGGAGCTTACTCCTGGGCAACTTTGCATAGGACTGGAGTCATAGCATTGGAGTAAACTATGCATAGGGTTTGGGCATTGCGCTACGGACTGTTGCTGCTACATACTGCGCGCTCTCTCTCTCTCTCTCTCTCTCTCTCTCTGTGTGTGTGTGTGTGTGTGTTACATATATGTGAATGAGTTCAGGAGAACTGCCTGCATTTTTCGACTCTCGTTGGAAGCGTGGCTCTAGGGCTGTCACAATGAGCTCCTGCACTTCAACACTGCCCACCACACGCCTGGAAAACCTTGTTGATCCTCTCAAAATTTACAGCCTGCCTCCCCTTTTTTTCCTGTTCCTCCTTCCAAGTTGTTGGTTGCCAACTGTCTGGACGTGGTGCACACCTTGCTAATGGGACTCTCGTGCTGAAGTGGGTCTCGGCTACTGTTGTAATAACAGGCCCTCAACCATGTTGCTTTTCTGCTTCAAGGAGCTGCCTCCTGATAGCAGCTGGATGCTTGTTCGGGAAGTTCTTGTGTAAATGAAGCCAGCAAAGCTGTTAGTGTGGGCACCAGGAGAATAATACCTTGTAGCCATGCAGTACTTCAGATTGCAAACCATCTTGGCATTTTGCCTCAATTGAGCTTAGCGCCAGGGCTGCAGGACATGGAAGTTTTGTGATGTGCCAATGTGCGGACAGCAAAAGCTATTGTACATCGGTGAGCAGCCAAGGGCCCTGGAGACCGAATGTGGCCCTCCATGTCTCTCTGAATGGCTCTCGGAACTCTCCCAGGTCACACCCCTCACTGGCCCTCCTTTGCACTCTGTGTTTGCCTGGCTGGAATGTGCCCCTGAATTCTGATGGAGGACACAAGTGGGTTAAGGCTTGTAGAAACCGTGCACAGATGAGAATGTGCATCCTCTGTTCCACCCACTTTTTCATCTGGCCCCACCCACCACTGCCATGCGGCCCCCGAAGGGAAGGTAGCCCTGGGGCTGTAAAAGCTTTCCCATCCTTGCTGTGGTACCTTTATGCCAAAGGTAGTCAACGAAAGGCCCTCTGTATGTCGTTGAACTGCAACTCCCATCAGCCCCAGACAGCACAACCATGGTAAGGGATTATGGGAATTATAGTCTTGCAATATCTGGAGGGCAACATGTTGGCTGCCTCTGCATGACACTGAAGTATCTTTTGCTGCTACTCCTAGCAGTCTTGGCAAGGTGGAAATTCTAGTGTGGGTTTTTTGTTTTTTTTTAAGGCTCATTAAGATTGAAAAATATAGTGACTAATAATTGTAATGGCATTCTTGAGATTATACTAAGTGCCCAGAGCATAGGTGAGATATCCTTCTGTGTGTTTGATGAAAGAACTTATAGTGTTCAAGAATTGTTGGAAGGGATCCCAAGAGTCATCTAGTCCAGCTACAATTCCCAGCACCCTTAACAAACTACAGTTCCCATGATTCTTGGGGGGAGGGAAGGGCATGCTTCAAAGGTGTGCTGTGTATGCAGCCTAAATGGGGATACGAACCCATGTTTTCCCAATCTAACCACCACGCCAGAACGGCTCTTACTATGCCATTGAGGGCCATGGCATTGTTGCATTAGGGTGGTTTGAAAGTCAGCTCCGAATACCACAAAAGAAAAAAGGCATGGAAATCCAAGTGGTCAAGGATATTTTAAATGAACGTTAGCGAGAAACCTCTTGATGGTAAGAACAATTCAACAACGGAGTCAATTACCCACAGAAGTGGTTGGGCTTGCCCTTGCCAAGGGATGAACATGAGAAGAGCCTTTCTGAATCAGAGAAAATGCCTTATCCAGACCAGCATCCTGTTCTCTGCAGTGGCCAGCCAGATGTCTCTGGGAAGTGGTGCGGTGCTTGCGGAGTCAGACCAGGAACTGGAGAGCCAGGGTTCCGATCCTCACTCAACCGCAAAGCTCCACTGGTTGACTTTCGGCCAGTTGCAGTCTCTCAGCCTAACCTACCTCACAGGGTTGTTGTGATGATAAAATGAAAGGGAGAGAACTGTGTATGCCACCTTGAGCTCCTTGGAGAAAAGGTGGGATATAAATGGAAGAACGAATAAACGAATGAAGATCCCTCTCCCATTGTCTCCCCCATGATAGGTATTCAGAGGTAAGGATGGAGGAGAAATTATCTATTCCCATGGGTGCTGAACCTACCTAGTACAAACTGAAATGCAACCACCCTCTGAAATTCAGCTGAATTTTGCAGCTCAGTTCTCCAGCCAGGTAAAGGGCACATTAAGTGCATATATTAGGGTAAAGTGTGCATTAAAACACATACATCAGTATCAAAAAAAAAATACAACCCCCCCACACATACATCAGTGAAAATAACACTCCAACATGTGTTCCATTAGGGGAAATCCCTTTGCAAAAATGTGTATATTAGGAGAAAACGGCAGTAAAATGCAGGTGAGTTTTCATTTTTAAAAATATTCACAAATTGATGCAGAAATGAACTGGAGAGTTTAAATTAAAGAGTGAGGAAATGAGAAAGAGAAAGAAACTGAAATTGGCAGATTTCATTCATCGAGAGGCGGGGGGACCGAGATAATGGAAGCAGCATATGGGCATCATGACCCACAACTATGCTGTCTTCAAAACAGAGGCTTGTTGGAGATCTTCTAACCCTGGATTTCCTGCACTGATCAGCGGATTGGATTATATCAAGGATAGGGCACCTTTAGCCCTCCAGATGTTACTGAACTACAGCTCCCATCTACCCCAGCCATTGGCCATGCTTGCTGGGGCTGATGGGAATTGCCATCCCAATCCTGGCAGACAACAGCCTCCTCTTTGATGAGTGTGGTAGGGAAAATGTTGGGAGATGCTTGAACTTGGTGTCTGGTTCCCAAAGATAAAAGGCAGCCCACTCCTCCAGAGACCGGGAGTAGCTAAACCTTTGCCTCTGCTCCAAGCTAGGTTTTTGAGAACCCATTCTGCATGAAAAATACCAGTGAGTCCCTTGGTGGGCAGTTCTTAGCTCAGTCATAGAGCATCTGCTTTGAATGCAGAAGGTCCCAGGTTCAATCCCCAGGATCTCCAGGTAGGACTGGGAGAGACTACCTGTCTGAAACCCCAGAGAACCAGTGCCCATCACATCAGTTAGTGAGCTAGATAAACCAATAGCCTGATCCTTGGCATAAGGCAGTTTCCTCTACCAAGGATGATCTCAAAATGCTCTGGAGATCTCAACCCTTTGGGACAAGGTCAAGCATGCTCACTGATCCCTACCCAAAATTAAATTCTGGCATCAGGGGTAATGTCCACCCTGCCACATACAGACACACTTAAATGATTCTTCTGAAGATCAGACTATTTATACCAAGTGTATAATTAGCCTTTATCAAAAGAATAATAGTAGTAGGAAGACGCAGCTGAAATGGACTGTATCTTATGAGAAAAGAGTAGATGCAATTTGACATTTAACAACTATTCACAACCCAGGGATCACAGGACTCTGCAGTGTCATCCCTCCACTCCTTTCAGCCAATTTATTTAATAAAGGCCCCATTCACCAGAACACAACCCGAACATAATAGACCACAGATACAACAATAATGTGAAAACAGCTAAACCTGCCCCACCCCAAAACCTGAAGGAGAAAACCTCAGCCAGGCTGTTGTAAATATTCAATGAAGCCTTCTGCTCTTTGCCAAGTCATTTTATTAAAGTCTCCCCAAATAACTAACTATAGCATTTCAGCCCATTATTACTCCTACCAAAAAAATAAAAAAATAAAAAATAGGGAAAGAAAGAAAAAGAGGCCAATTGTATGTATGGTATAATCAGTTCAGACCTCTGAAGAATTGCCAAATCGCCTCTCAAAATAAGAGGGCAGATGACAAGTGTCCCACGGTAACCTTCCATTTTTGCTCAGCACGAGAAACAACAGCTATGCGGTGCAGAAATCGGGAGCACGACTGCTCGAGCCTCACCATTTATGGTGGTAAGCGAAGAGAGTACTCTCCTAGTTATGGATTGAATAGAAACATGCTTGCAGCGCTCATGAGTTATGGCTACAGTCCGTGAGGAAACTTTAAGCCGAATCTCTCTTCGGTAAACAGTGCATGACCAGAAAGCTATGCAGGTATAAACACTTGTTAAGTTTAGAGCAGGGGTGGAGAATCTATTTCATCCCAAGGGTCGGATTAGAACTGGGTCAACCTTCCAAGGGCTGCGTGTTCTCTAGGCATCAGTGGGATTCTGGACCTTCCAGACTGTTTGAGTTGGAGGCCCTTTTGGTTTAGGAGGCAACTGACATGCTTAAATCCAGATGCACGTGATGTACCTGGAATGGTAGGGCTGAAACTAGCAATGAGAATATTCTTCCAGTTCCATCTTGTTATTACTCCACCATTTTGTTACCCCAGGTGTTGCCAATGAGTTTCCTCCAGTGGGTCCTATGGAACCCACAAAAGATCTCACGAAATATCCATTCTGTGTTTTTGACATGCCCCGCCATGTTCCACCAATCCAGTTTGTGAAGCACCATGGCAGCCATTTTGTGAATGGCACCCACAAAACTCTCTCAGAATTCTGAATGTTCCCACCGGCCTAAAAAAGTTGGTAATTCTCCATGGTACACTCTGGATTCTGCATACTACGCCTTGAGTTTTGCTTGCCTCCCAGCGAGAAAAGAGAATTTTGGAACATATAAAGTGATATTATATGGGGAAAAGAGTTCCAAGGCCTAGGCCAAGAGTTGGGGACATTGGCCACACCTGTCCTATCTATGGCCGTGTGTCAGTGGTGGGCGGAACCATCCTTCCTCCTCTCTGTCTGTCACTCCCCACCCAGTCGGCTGCTGCAGGAAGAGCAAATCACTCTTGCCAGCGCTCCATATTTATCACAGGAAGCTGCCTTGTACCAAGATAGACCATTGGTCCATTTGGTGCAGTTTTTGACTGGCAGGGAAACAAATAGAAGGTGGCATCAGAGCTCATGACCAGTGTTCGAAACTCCCATTGTTCTAGGCGTGTTTTGCGACAGGGAATTTCATTAGTGCGAGAAGTTACTGAGCTCTGGGCGCAGTCCTGCACCTAAGATTTCAGAGTGGAACTGCAGAGTGGAAGGAAAGGAGGACCTTTTTCTGCCTTCCCACTTCCAGCTACTCTCTGGAGTAGACTGGAGAAGAGAACCTCTTAAGAATATCAGGGGGGTGGGTAGGGGAAGGACTAAAAAAGATAAAGGACCCGTGACAGTTAAGTGCAGTCGCGAACAACTCTGGGGTTGCGGCGCTCATCTCGCTTTACAGGCTGAGGGAGCCAGCGTTTGTCCACAGACAGTTTTTCCGGGTCATGTGGCCAGCATGACTAAGCCGCTTCTAGTGAAACCAGAGCAGTGCATGGAAATATTGTTTACCTTCCCGCTGGAGCGGTACCTATTTATCTACTTGCACTTTTTGGTGTGCGTTCGAAATGCTAGGTTGGCAGGAGCTGGGACTGAGCAACGGGAGCTCACCCCATCGTGGGGATTCGAACCACCGACCTCCTGATCAGCAAGCCCGAGAGGCTCAGTGGTTTAGACCATAGCGCTGCCCGCGTCCCGGGTAAGGACTAGACCATGTGAAAAATGAACATAATATTTTAGTGCATTCATTCATTTTCAGCTTTGAATTCTTGTTATAAGAAAAGCACGCCTAGACATTCCGTGGTTGCGCCCATAACCTAGGTTTAAGGTGCCATTTAGCTCCTAGCTTTCAAACCTCAGTTTCTAACACTACTCATGGCAGTCTGAGCCAGCCGGCCCCCGTTTTCTCCCCATCCTTCTCCATGCTGGGGAAAAGGGGAAGTCCTTCCATTCCTATGTGCAGGTCTTTTAAGGATCACTGACATGGGATAGGCTTTTTCTAATTTGGCGTGGCAACTCCTTGGGGGTAGCAACCCGTTATTCTAACACCAAGAAATGGCACAGCCAGATGACAAATGTGAATAAATTTTCTGTGTTGTTATTGGCCTATTGTGGAGCACAACGTATAAAAATGTTTGCACTGATCCAAGGAGGAAATTGTGCTCTGCAATGCAAAATTTAAAACACACACAAAAAAATAATTGCTTGTTTGATGCCATTATTAGAGCAACAGTAATTATGCTTTTTAAAGCCAGAATCCTCAGCTGGTGTTAACAACAACAACAACCCACCAAACAGAACAGCCCCACAGTCTATAACAGAGACATGCACACTTACAGCCACTAAAAGATCTGGTTTACAGCCTTTGACATCGTCATGGGCAGTCTTCCCCAAACCTGGTGCCTTCCAGATGGTTTGGACTACAATTCCCATCATCCCTGACCATTGTTGATGGGGAATGGTACTCCAAAACATCTGGATGGTACCAGATTGTTTGGGGGCGGATGGGCAGAGAGCTACGTTTTCTCTGCCTTCTGCCCTGTCTCAGTGGACACCAGGCGCTACTGTGTTTAATGCCAGCAGCATCAGTTGTTTTGGGAGGGGGGTTAATTACTGGGATTGCAGCAAGCCTGGAGGAGGAACTTCTCTGATGCTTTCCTCCCTTGCTACAGTCCAGCGGAAAGTCCCACTTCAGAAGATTTAAATTTGCTTTGGGGGAAATCCCGTGTAAGTACCAACAGGGGATTTCTCGCCAATGCCAATGGAAGCATCAGAAAAGTACCAAAAGGGGAAAGGGATAAGTTCCTCCTCCCTGTCTGCTGCGATTCTAATAATTGTCACCCGCCACATACACAGTTGGTGCTACCTGCGTTTTTTGTTTGCTTGTTTTGTAAAGGACAAGTTAAATGAGAAGGTGCAGTTAATGTCACCTCAAACCTGGCTGCAAGCTAACGAAACATGGGACAACTGAATTAAAGAGCAGAAGGTAAACCCCAAGGAAAACCTTGGCTGTGCACTTGTAGCTGGGTTACAAGTGGGAGGCCTGTAGCTCAGAGGTAGGGTATCTGATTTGCATGCAGGAGGTCCAGGTTCAACCCCTGGCATCTCCAGGTACTGCCAGAAATGTCCCTGGTGTGGACAAGATAGAACTAGGTGGACCAATGGTTTGACTCAGTGCAAGGCAGCTTCCTACATTCTGGATAGCAACAAGCCCTACTGACTCTGCCAGGAGCAAAATTTACTCCAGCTTTGCAGAGAAGAATCAGGAGAATTGCAAGCCGCACGCTCTGAACAACATTTGCGAATTATACCCCAGCTCATGCTCTTCTCCCCTCGAGTCATCCAGCATCAACATGAGGTTTTGGAAATATCTACACAGAACGTTGCATTTTCAGAACACACACAGAATTAAGGACGAGAAAAGAACTTTCAGGAAAAGATACAAACCAGGTAACCGTATGGGTTATTTCATACTGTTAATTTCAACACTTGGTGGGATATGCACACCAGGTGTAGATTTCTTGTGTACAACAGCTGGTCCTCTCTTGTTACAGCAGAAAAATGAATAGGCTTTAATTTCAAATAAGAACAACTGCAGAGTGATAGGGAAATTTTTTGGGGGGGTGGTGGGAAAAATTGGTGGACCAATGAAACCTTAATATTAAAAGGGGGGGAGTGAGAACAAGGCACCTACCATGATCCAAAGCCTCTGGTTGTTCCACAGTGCAGTTTCAGGGTGCTGAGTGAACAAGTGTGGTGTGTAGTGGTTAGTGTGTTGGACTAGGACCTGGGAGACTAGGGTTCAAATCCCCACTTGGTCATGAAGGCCCTTCATTGCCTCTCAGCCTAACCTACCTCACAGGGTTGTTGTGGGGATTAAACAAGGAGGAGAACTATGTGTACCATCTTGAGCTCCTTGGAGAAAATAAATAGAAAGATCCCAGGTTCAATCCCCCTCATCTCCCGGTAGGGCTGGGAATGTCCCCTGCCAGAAACCCGAGAGAGCTGCTGCCAGTCAGTATAGACAATATTCAGCTAGATGGCCCAATGGTTTGACTCAGGACCGGGCAGTTTCCTATGTTCCTTTGCATTCCGTTAACTTGCCAAAGCTCACAGTAG